AGGCGAAAGGCAAGCAGTGTTTCATTTGTATTGCAAAACTGACCAAGAAAGACTACTAGCAATACAGCAAAATGGGTGGTGCACATTGCACAGTGCCTCATCACGTTGACACAGTGGGCCACCTGGTGACAGCAAGCCTTGTTTATCGGATGTATTGTAACCAGGAAATCAATTCGTGATTGAGGTGGAAGAAAGGAAAGGAGGGTGAGAAGTAGGAGGTGCCATGCTCCAAACTCTCTTAAATCTTGGACTTGTCAGTTTTGTTGCCCCCGCCATTATTTCTAATCAGGAGGTGGAGTAAACTCATGAGACAGCTGCAGCTGTATGTTTAAAGCAATAAAACGTTTTATTCAAAGGTCTTCACTGGAAAGCAGACACAGTATTACATTTAACAGATGGGAGCTATTTCCAGGAATCTTCAAGTGCTTCCTGAAATGATTCTGTTGTATCAGTGCTGAAAAGAGAAATACTACCCAGAGAAATAGTTTGAAGACTTCCATGTGAATGCTTAAATCTTCTGAAGTATCCATCAGTATTAAGTCTTACGCATTTACATAATGTTTTGTAGAGGTTGTTCTGTGTCATGTCTCAATCATAAAGTAATGATTTCATGTGTGGGTTTTTTCACTTATTTTGCATCTGAATTGTAGAAATCCTTCTTTTATTGGCTATGAAAAAGAAAATTATAAGGGTTATTTTTAATGCTGTAAGAAATTTGAAGACAAACTGGGAAAATAAAACTTAAATTCATTTTGCAGTTACCTAAATTGAGGGAAATTGAGTCATAGGAAATTTTCCCTTAAAAAAGATGAACAATCAATAAAAACGTTAAGCTGAATTTAAGACTAAGTAATGTAGTATATAGAAACAGACAACTTAGGCAGCTTCAGAGGTTAAGCTTGAGGACTGTGCAGAGGTTTTAAGATGGATCCTTCTTGTAAAGCATTTTCTTCTGAGCAGGCAGCTTTTGAAGGACGTACTGAAATCTCTATTACTATTGAGTTGTTATCTGCCAGTTTGAGTTTACAGATGTTAACTCTTATTTAAAGTCCTAGGTAAACTTCGTTATTTAATATTTTTAAACAATGATGAAATGCTTTGGTAAGCCTTGACGGTGTCTCACAATTACATGCTTTGTGTGGTAGTTCAGTTTAGATAATAAATATTTGTTGAAGTATTGTATATACAAAAGGCTCTTATTTGGTTTGTATGGAGCTTTCCATTCTTTGCTATAACTCCTGTATTATTCTTCCTCATTATTTTGAACTAAGATCAATGGTATCTTTAAACAGAGACAAGTTTGTGTTCAATGCAGATAAAGGCTTCAGAGGTGATGTTCTTCATGTGATTTGTTTATATTAAATTTGCTATACATGTTTCTGTTTTAATGCTTGGTTATAATTTAATATCTTTGCCTTTAATTAAAATGTTCTTGAACACCATTTACTTTTTCCTGTACTGTAATGTGTGAGGCATCGTGACGCAAGTACTTATCTAAACATCCCTTTAAAGTGAAGTAAACCACAGTTCAGTCACATCTAATTAAATATCAAGGAGGTGGGCTACATAAGGAAAATACAAATGGCCTCTGTTTCAAGCAGAACCTACACTGCGATATTTTTCAAGTGTTTTCATAACTGTTTTCGCATTGAATCACACAATAAACCATCACTAACTTTGCTTTTTGTAATTCCTTTGACTCTTCTCCCCACTCCGAGGTCATATGCCAACACTCAGGAATCGTGCAGAGCAGATATATTTGCAACTTCGCGGGGAGATCTAGTGTTACCCAGTCAGAACACATTTGCATGCTGAAATCCTGTTCAGTTTAGAGCCCTGGCTTGAAACAAAGCCTTCCTTAAAGGGGAAAAAAATGTGAAGGCGCTCGCCTCGATAAGAGAGGACTGCACTCTCATTTGGTTACATAGCAGCCATACTTGGAAAGGGCTATGCATTAACCTTCAGGCAAAGTACTTCAGCAAGATGCAAATGTTGCAGGCTTTTTGATTCTGTTAATTTCTTTTTCAAGGTGCTATGTTTCTAATTAAAACCCTTTTCAAGGACAGTAATTCAGTTACTGCTTACAAAGATAGAATGTATCAAATACCTGTCTATTCATTCCACAATATAGTGTGCATAAAATAAACTATAAACAAAATACCGTGCAGTCATATTTTATTGTTGTATCCTGTTTTTACAATGCTCTTGTCATGATGTATAGAGAGATACTGATATATTTATACGTACACAGAGATCGGGTGAAAGCATTTACATGTAT